ACTGATATCAGTCTGAATCATACTGATATCAGTCCTGAATCATGGCTTTCGTGTAATCAGTTATGATACAGCTGCGAAAATCAGTCATGATACAATCATGCTAAAATTTGTACTGATTCATGCCAGAATATCAGGCATGATCTATAATAAAACTGTCAGGGCTGTACCAGTATAGAGTATCAGAGTTGGTCCATTATTTTGGGGCAAAAGTGCTGATTCAGGCGTGATAACATTTGGTTGTGTAGTACACGGTCTTCGACCAAATTTTGCAAAAAAATGACTAAGAAAAATTATCTATTTAATAATTTTTTCTAATACATATAGATGTACATATAGTTTAACTGAACTGATTCCAATCAAATTTGGATTTTTGGAAGTTACTCCAAAAAGGTATGGACTATCATAGTGCAGTGCTTGTCAGCTCATGAAGCTCATGCTGTTTAGCTCACTTAGCATGCTTTTTAAGAAACCCTGTTAACAACAATAGCAATAATAATAATAATAATAACTTAACAAGGAATAAAAAGAGTAATATTGGTGGACAGACTGACAGAGAGAAAGAGAGAGGAAAGTAACCTTGAAGGACTCAGGGAATGGGTCAAAGAGCTTTACAATAGAATAATTTTTAAACGAGAAAAGTTAGGAGGGAGAGAAAGATTAGAACATTTACAACATAAGCATTTATAGTGATAAGTACATAAGTTATTAGAATCAAATGAACATGAGAAGTGATGCAATATTTTATTACTTTTTTATGACAGATGAACTGCCGTTTTTTCAAAAGAAAGCCATGTTTCTGTTTCTTGCAAAAAAACTATCAAAATAATAGTCTCGTGCCCCGCCCCTTTGCTTTTGGAGGAAGGGTCTGGAGACACTCAAGGCTTTTTTGTTGCATGCTGGAATGTAATTAGTGCAGCTGATCATATGACCGGATGCATCCACGTGTTAATTTCACGTGATAGACACACCCCAAGAACATGGCTACCAGAAGTATGAAGAAGGAATCATAGCTAATTTTTAAAAAATTTTTAAAAATTAAAAGGAAAAGAGAATTTTTACACATTGGCTCACTACAGAAGTTGGATTATAATGAAGAATTTTTTCAAGTGTGTTAGCAGTCTAAATCTGATTGTTGTTTGACATCAATAGGTAGACATGCACAATTGCTTGTTATAAAAAATTAAAGTGCTAAATTTGGTTGAACAACTGCAGAGATATTCAGATAAACATGCTTTATGCATACTTAATAAGGGGGTGGGGCTGAAGGTTTTTAGCTGAAAACTCCAAGGTTTTACATCACAAGTCCAAAAAACTGGAATGATATGCTTAAAACAATAATTAGCTAGTGCTACAGTGAGGTTAAAAGTTTAATACAAGTAT